TAGGTTTTAATTTATTCTAATCTAATTTATTTAATTTATTCTAATCTAATCTAATAAATTAATATAATATAATATAATATAATATAATAATTTATTTTATGATTTTTTTAATACTTTTAGTTTTAGTTCAGTTTCAGTTAGTAAGTTTAATGCTTCAGCTTTAATTTATTATTATTTAATTTATTTCAGTTACATTCTAGTTTTTGTTTAGTTTAAGTTTTTGCGATATTTATATTTTATTTGAGCTCTTATTCAATTACTGAATGAGTTTTAATAGTTTTAGTTCACAGTTTCAGCTTTTATTTTATTTCCAGTTAGTGACATCAGTTTTTATTTCCAGTTAGTGACTTTAGTGTTTCCTCTTAAACTCGTTTAGTTGCCAAGCCAGCTTGTCTGATCCGCTGCGTCTGTTTCTTCAGCCACCGACTCTCAGCGGAACGGCAACAGAGAGGAAAATACGTCATAGTCAAAACCACATGATTATTACAGGCTTCCCAGCCCACCGTCTGATGCATTTCTATGCCTCTTCCAGGTCTTCATGGTTACAGGATATTTGAAGGATTTTTAAAATCATTTTATTAAAGATTGCGTTCAGAAAGAGCAGCTTCTGGCTATGAAATATTTTAGGGCTGAGAATAACTGGGACACATTATCTTTTAGAAATTACCATGACTTTTCCAGGCCCTTTTTAAAACGTGAGGTTTTCTATGGCTGTTTTTATAATATCCATAATATATATATATATATATATATGTATATATGCCTTTGTGTGTTGTTTGTGGCGTGTGATGGCTTTATTTCAGAGAAATGTTTGAATCAGATCACCTGCTGCTGTTTCTTCAGCATCTTCTGTCGCGGGCTGATCTTTCGTCGCAGCGTCTGAGGAAACACACACCAGTTCTTAAACATCAGCTAAAGCACACTTGTGTCTTGTGTTGATGTTGTTTTGTGACCAGAACTGAACACCTGTAGTAAATGAGGCGTACCTGTCTCAGGGTTTGTGTCTTCAGACTCTGTAAACACACAAAAAACAACACACGTCGTTGTGTATTATACACAATTATAAAATGTTATAAAATGCTGATGAATACACATCTATATGATGCACAGTCTATATTAATGCACTGAATAACAGAACAGTTTATTCTGATTGTTATTATTAAACGTAAATATATGTAAAATGTATATTGAACATTGACGTTAAACTGCGTATTGCATTACGCCAGTTGAAGCCGTGCGTTACAGTGATTTTACCACAGAAAACAAGGGCTGTTTGCATTGTGCCTACAAATCAGTATTATAGACGCTTTTCATCTAATATTTAGATTTTATTTTATTTCAGCTTAATTTCAATTACTGGATTGTTTTAAACGATCATTTTTAATAGTGTTATTTAAGTGTTATATTTTTTATTAACAGTTTGAATTAGTTTTGCATTTTCCGTTTTCATTTTATTTTAGTTACCGTTTTAGTAATTCTGCTGTGTTTTGTCATTTTTATTATGTTTCTATATTTCTGATTTTTTATTTTATTTCAGTTTTAGTTATTTTAGTACATCAACTTAAATGAAAATGATGTTGCCTTGGCAATTAACTGAAATACAATGTTTTTTAATAAACGATTTTATTTCAATTAACTTTTATTTTATTTCAAGTAACATGTTATTTTTATGCTTTTAATTGTAGATTTAGTTAACTATAATAACCCTGGCTTTTGTTTTAGTTTTATTTATTTATAGTCAGTAATTTTAGTGCGTCAACTTATTTCATTTAGTTGCCAAGGCAACATTAAGTTTTTCATCCAATATTTATATTTTATTTTTATTTAATTACTTCTTTTAGTAATTAATTAATACTTATATTTTATTTCAGCTTATTTAGATTTGTAATAGCTTTAATTTAGTAAACCCTCACTGTAAAAAATATTCCGTAAAATTTACGGTAAAAAAACGGCAGCTGTGGTTGCCGGAATTTTACCGTAAAAAAATATGGTAGCAACGTTTTAGGTTTTATGGTTTTAACTTAAATTTACAGTTAAATACCGTAATTTCATTAACTGATATAATGTATACCAACCTATTGAAGTACTGAAATCTGTTTTGTACCTTTGTAATACACTGATAACCACCAAATGCAGGTGGTGATGAGAAAGTCACATGATAAACCAAAG